TATTAACTACAATACATTAAAAAAAAATCATGTCGTGCATCGCACGGGTGAGATTACTAGTATGTTTAAAACAAACCAATAGTGATAAATATATATTTTCATATTTTTCCCTTTTTCCTTACAAATAAAGAATAATAAATTGAACTAAATTTAGAAGTTTTGTTTTATTAGCACTTGATGTGTTTATTATTTTCATTTGCTAATTTTTTATTCTTGAGTGACATTATAATAGAAAAAAATAAGGTTTGTAATAGTTTGACGAAGGGAGTAGAATAAAAAAAGAAAATAACATTAGATTTTTATTAATCGTAGAGTTGATGAATTCAAATCACTCATCGTTTTCAATTTAGACCAACTCAAAACAAAACTAAATAGACCAACTCGAATTTTTTTATTAGAACTAATTAGATTTTCATATATTTGCGGATGTTTTATATATCAAACCAGTGCACATCAAATTATAAAATACTTTAAGAAAGTTTTCTTAATTAAATTTAGTATTTTTAGATTTTCCATTCATATTCTGATTTTGATTTTAGAGACCGTTTAGTAGTACAGAAATTAGTTGAATCTGTTGAAATGGATGAAATTCTGAGAGAAGTAATTGAATTAGTTGAATCTTTTGGTGTACGGATAAATTTAATTTAAATTAATTTTATTAATGAAATAAAGAAAAATATTATATGAAATGTAGTTAAAAATGATCAACAATGCAGACAACAAAATAGATCATAAAATGTATATAAATAATTTTAAACATAATTATGGAGACAGTTAATAAAGTATATTTTTATATATTGAATATTGATCTCATACGAAAGATTACAAAAAAATATGAATTTTGATATATTTTTTGTAAAAGTTGGATTAAAAATGAAAAAGTTATAACACTTTAAAGAAAATTGTGGTTTTTTATATCTTGGGCCCCACCAAGTACATCCCATGCGGCTGCTCCGTTCTATACCATTGGAGAATTCGGTACTTTTGAAGTAAAATGGTCACATGGCATTGCTATACCAAATGAGAGAATCAAGGAGAGCTAGACACATAAGATTCATTAAGGGTAAAATTGTATTTTTATTAGCTATTTCTTTGCTTATATAGAAATAGAATAGATAGACTCTTATGAATTTCAATATGTGAATCTTAAATTATATCTATAATCAACTCTTATGAATTTCAATATGTGAATCTTAAATTATATCTATAATTAACTCTTATGAATTTCAATATGTGAATCTAATATCCTATGGTACTTTTGAAATATGCATTATATGACATTTTAAAATGAGCATAACATCAGTACCAAATGAACATGCATAACTTACAAAATGAGCATTGATATGAAAATTATAAGTTTTGTTAGTTGAGCATCAAGACATTTTTAGTGAGCATCAAACCTCCGATACGATACTAAGAACTAGAATTGTGCGATCGGGTATCATGATTTGTTCTCGCGTGTTTATAATCAGAGAAATTTGATCCTAGTAGGACCAAATCATATCTCTTTTACAAAAATAATACTGCCTAATGTTTTTTCTGTTCGTATTATCTATATAGTTCTAGATTAGGAAACTTTTTTTTAGATTTCCAAATTTGCCCTTCAACTTATAGAAGGGCATTCAAATTCGGTCTTCCGATGGCATTCACCATAATGTTGCTGTCCTGGGCGGTCATAGAATACGGCAAAGAAATTGCCGCCGCCCAGTGGCGGAACCAGGACTCGTGACTTGCAGGGGCTCATTAACAAATAAATCATATACTAGTATATCACGAATAAAGCAATAAACAAAACTGCTCCCTCCGTATTTAACTTATCTCTACACTAGGTGTTGGCACAAGATTTTTTCCTTGTAACACACCAAGCAATTTGTCGAGAATTCTTCTCCAATCTTGTTACGCAATCCAGGGTCACCAATAATCTCGTCCTATGAAATTTCATTTTCTATTCGAGGCTTTTAACATTATTTTCAACGTTAGGTGTGATATTATCCGACGAAGAAATTACATTGTTCGATGAAGAACCCTCAATGTTCGTCCCTTTACTACCTTTGAAAACATTTGCATAAAATCGTAACATCAGGATTCTTTCTCAAACAACCTAAAAATACTACAATTAAAGCGATTATTATAAGAATTAACAATTACTCCGTAATAAATTATTAATTTAGAAATACTACAAAAAAGAATAACAGTTACAAAATCAAAATTAACCTTTAACAAATAATTTCAGCCCTTCACCATTACCAACCATTCCAAATACTATTAAAAAATAACTACTAATAAATTAACCAGATGAAGAATCGTTGAATGGCCGGCTCGCCAAGATTCCAAGATGGATTGCCCAGACGGCCTAGTTACTGGCTTGCTGAGTTGCTAGCGTAGTGCGTACAGTTCTGCTGCTGCGTGTAGAAGACACGATCGTTGCTACTGCTCGGTTGTTTTAGCGTCTGAGCAGAATTGCAACTTTAGGCTAATTGGGCTCAATCCTGGTGCGGCCCAATAATTTTGTAACTGTTATTCTTTTTTGTAGTATTTCTAAATTAATAATTTATTACGGAGTAATTGTTAATTCTTATAATAATCGCTTTAATTGTAGTATTTTTAGGTTGTTTGAGAAAGAATCCCGATGTTACGATTTTATGCAAATGTTTTCAAAGGTAGTAAAGGGACGAACATTGAGGGTTCTTCATCGAACAATGTAATTTCTTCGTCGGATAATATCACACCTAACGTTGAAAATAATGTTAAAAGCCTCGAATAGAAAATGAAATTTCATAGGACGAGATTATTGGTGACCCTGGATTGCGTAACAAGATTGGAGAAGAATTCTCGACAAATTGCTTGGTGTGTTACAAGAAAAAAATCTTGTGCCAACACCTAGTGTAGAGATAAGTTAAATACGGAGGGAGCAGTTTTGTTTATTGCTTTATTCGTGATATACTAGTATATGATTTATTTGTTAATGAGCCCCTGCAAGTCACGAGTCCTGGTTCCGCCACTGGGCGGCGGCAATTTCTTTGCCGTATTCTATGACCGCCCAGGACAGCAACATTATGGTGAATGCCATCGGAAGACCGAATTTGAATGCCCTTCTATAAGTTGAAGGGCAAATTTGGAAATCTAAAAAAAAGTTTCCTAATCTAGAACTATATAGATAATACGAACAGAAAAAACATTAGGCAGTATTATTTTTGTAAAAGAGATATGATTTGGTCCTACTAGGATCAAATTTCTCTGATTATAAACACGCGAGAACAAATCATGATACCCGATCGCACAATTCTAGTTCTTAGTATCGTATCGGAGGTTTGATGCTCACTAAAAATGTCTTGATGCTCAACTAACAAAACTTATAATTTTCATATCAATGCTCATTTTGTAAGTTATGCATGTTCATTTGGTACTGATGTTATGCTCATTTTAAAATGTCATATAATGCATATTTCAAAAGTACCATAGGATATTAGATTCACATATTGAAATTCATAAGAGTTAATTATAGATATAATTTAAGATTCACATATTGAAATTCATAAGAGTTGATTATAGATATAATTTAAGATTCACATATTGAAATTCATAAGAGTCTATCTATTCTATTTCTATATAAGCAAAGAAATAGCTCATAAAAATACAATTTTACCCTTAATGAATCTTATGTGTCTAGCTCTCCTTGATTCTCTCATTTGGTATAGCAATGCCATGTGACCATTTTACTTCAAAAGTACCGAATTCTCCAATGGTATAGAACGGAGCAGCCGCATGGGATGTACTTGGTGGGGCCCAAGATATAAAAAACCACAATTTTCTTTAAAGTGTTATAACTTTTTCATTTTTAATCCAACTTTTACAAAAAATATATCAAAATTCATATTTTTTTGTAATCTTTCGTATGAGATCAATATTCAATATATAAAAATATACTTTATTAACTGTCTCCATAATTATGTTTAAAATTATTTATATACATTTTCTGATCTATTTTGTTGTCTGCATTGTGGAAGTTACTGTAGTTGATCATTTTTAACTACATTTCATATAATATTTTTCTTTATTTCATTAATAAAATTAATTTAAATTAAATTTATCCGTACACCAAAAGATTCAACTAATTCAATTACTTCTCTCAGAATTTCATCCATTTCAACAGATTCAACTAATTTCTGTACTACTAAACGGTCTCTAAAATCAAAATCAGAATATGAAAGGAAAATCTAAAAATACTAAATTTAATTAAGAAAACTTTCTTAAAGTATTTTATAATTTGATGTGCACTGGTTTGATATATAAAACATCCGCAAATATATGAAAATCTAATTAGTTCTAATAAAAAATTTCGAGTTGGTCTATTTAGTTTTGTTTTGAGTTGGTCTAAATTGAAAACGATGAGTGATTTGAATTCATCAACTCTACGATTAATAAAAATCTAATGTTATTTTCTTTTTTTATTCTACTCCCTTCGTCAAACTATTACAAACCTTATTTTTTTCTATTATAATGTCACTCAAGAATAAAAAATTAGCAAATGAAAATAATAAACACATCAAGTGCTAATAAAACAAAACTTCTAAATTTAGTTCAATTTATTATTCTTTATTTGTAAGGAAAAAGGGACAAATATGAAAATATATATTTATCACTATTGGTTTGTTTTAAACATACTAGTAATCTCACCCGTGCGATGCACGGCATGAGATTTTTTTTTAATGTATTGTAGTTAATAAGGTCCACCACTGTAATTATTGACGACACTAAACAATGTCACGCAATAAAGATACCAAAAACGCAATTGACAAAACACATATTTAATATTATGGTGAACTGAGAATACAAAACATCACGGGAAAGTAAAGAAAAAACAACACATAGATATATTCCAAAACAGTGAGACTGTAAATATCCATTTCAATCAACCTTAAACGTTGTTGAAAACTTCTTTGAATACCACATTCTGAGTTTTGTTAGTGGTTCGTCCATCATCACCAACAATTAAAATTTTCAAACCACATCGGTTGGTCACCCTAGAAATTGCAACATACAATTGTCCGTGAGTAAATACAGGTTTTTGTAATAACAGCCCAACACGGGACAAAGATTGACCTTGACTTTTATTTATCGTCATCGCGTATGACGTCATTATAGGGTACTGGCGCCGCTGAAATTTGAAAGGTAAGGAAGTATCCGATGGCGTCAAAGACAATCTTGGAATCAGGACTTTCTGTCCGGCACTCACACCAGTCAAAATCTTCCCCTCCAAAACATGATCACCAAGTCTCGTTAGAATAAGACGTGTACCATTACACAACCCCATAGAATGATCTATATTTCTCAACAGCATGACCGGGGTCCCAACCTTTAACGTCAACTCATGATTCGGCACACCAGACAATTTTATACTATTTAAGAACTCAGGAGTGTGCAGTTCTGCCATAAGATCTGTTGTGGAGTCCAACTTAGAAACAGTGTCAGAACTATGATATGTTCTTGAAACTTCGCCAACATTAAGCGCCGTCATATATTCATTAACAGCTTCAACAACAGCCAGGGTGGGTGCCAAAATTGCACGATCACGCAAACAACTAACATCTGCTGCAGATATAACATATTCTGGAAATATGCTTTCTACTATCGCAGCTATAGGATCTCCATTAGTGTGTATCAATAGATCGTCAGGAATAGGAATCAACACATGGCCATCATTCAAGTCACCAGCAACACCATCACCAACGCTAGCAATCCAATCCGAAAACAACTTCAAATCATAAGAATCTGAAGGATTTGTCAAGTTTTGCAAACGCATATTTTTTGTGAGTTGGAGGACAGTACATTGTGACCAAAGATATGATGAATTAATGGTTGCATTGACGACATCCTGCCTACTCCCACGCGGTATAACCGGCAACACTTGTCGAAAATCACCACTGAATACCATTGTTTTTCCACCATATGGAAGAGTACCACAATTTGGTTTGTGGAACCGCATAATGTCCCTCATGCTCTGATCCAATGCCTCAAAACAAAACCTATGTAACATTGGAGCTTCGTCCCATATAATCAACTTACACCGTACAATTAGCTTGGCAAGCGGGCTTCCCTGTTTAATATGACACGTGAGGTCTTCGTTAAGACTTATCAGTATTGCAAATCTAGAGTGAGCGGTGCGTCCTCCCGGCAACAGAAGAGATGCAATACCACTCGATGCAACATTAAGGACAACCTCACCTCTAGACCTAATGGCTGCAGAAAGGGTCTTCCACACAAACGTCTTTCCTGAACCTCCGTAGCCATAAACAAAATATATACCACCAACCTCTTCATCAACAGACAGCATTATTGTATCATATACTTGCAGTTGCTCATCCGTAAGAGAATTGAACAACATAGAATGTTCCGCTATCATTGCGCTTTGATCATAACGCAATTCTTAAAATATAAGTCTGTCATTAGAAGATAATAGTGAATCGAGAACTACTGTAGGCATGGGGGGGGTAATCGCGCAAACTTTTCCCACGGGTTTGTAATTGTCACGCCCCGGACCTCCCCGGACACGTCGACAATCCGCCGTACAATACGAATAGTCAACCGCAGTCCAACACATTCATATTATACAAGGCGTCTTGAATATCATTCACACGTATACATCCATAAACAAACATAATAAGTAATTCATAACGCAGCGGAAAACATTGTTTAAAACAAGAAGGCCACACAAGGCATTTCATGAACACGCAGGCTCTATAGTAAAATATCCATGAGCAAATTTATTAATGTTTCAAATGGAATGGAGGAAGCACGAACCAAGTCTTCTCTCCTAGGGATCACTCGATCAACGAGCACAGGATGCAAGCTCTAGCCTCAACCTGAAATGGTGGTGGGACGCCCCCGAAGGGGTCAGTACTCTATACGGCTATAAAGTACTGGTGTGGCAGGCATCTAATAGATATACAACAAGTATTTCACACACAAGACCCTCAAGTAGGGTGATAATATAGTTTAGGCTGTAATCCCAAATTACCCCTTCAAAATATATACTTACTTTATATAAAGTCAAGTAGTCGGCTCAAAGGCCCATGTTTATCACAAAACATTTCCCAAACCCCGTGACTAATAGTCACGACATACATAGGGTCCAACCCTAATATAACTTCTCATTTCTAGAGTTCGGCTCGAGTACATCATCATGCACTCGCATCATAGATCTCCTACTTCATGTAATCACACCATAGATCTCCTACTTCATAAAATCACCCCATAGATCTCCTACTTCATAATATCACACCATAGATCTCCTACTCCATGATTTCACAATTGACACTTGAATCTCATTCAAGTTCATCACAAACAAACTCAAACCTTGAGTTTGATTCTAACACATTTAGGACAATCCTTAACTAGCATCACAATACTATTAAGATTATTCCTACAACTCATTTATCATTAATGGTAGCCCCTCCATATCAATAGATATGTGGCAGCCTCCCATGTGTTAAACATCATCATGCAATTATACATTTACATACACATAACATTCATACATGAATTGGAAAGGTCAATTTACCATATTAGCATACTTCCATCTCACATGGTTCCATATTCATCAATATGGTTTCAATTCATGATCAAGTCCATTACTTATCATTCATATCATGTTCAAGCATATTTATTCACAAAAACATGATTTAAGCATTTAGGTAATCTCATGCATAACCTACAAGTTGTAAGCAACTAGATGTCGGTCCTCACCTTAATTGAGCTTTAAACTTTTCTTTCTTGATCCAATGGTCAAAGCTTTGGCCAAGGTGGATTAAGAACTGATTCCTTGCTTAAATATGAGTGTTAAACAGCCTCCTCAAAGTGCTAGCTCAACCCTCAAACGTTGATACGAAAACAGCCCCTAGAATGGGTGTTTTCCGGTTAGCTCGTTTCCTAGTTTTCCAAGATTTACTCTAGGTTAGTATCTAACCATTACATCAATAAAATAACTTTACAAGGACATATTACACACTTGGATTAGTGTACAATAGTTCCACCAATCGTTCATATCATTTGGAAAATGAAAGGAAAGGTTTTGGGGTTAACAACTCACTTTAGAGGTGTAGATCCGTTTCTGCGAGGTTTCGTTTTTCTCGGACGATTTGGAAACCTTCCACTACTCCGATTGATGCAAACCAGACCTTCACGGATTCCTCGTCTTGAGAGCTTTCTTTTGGTATCTTATACGCCTTAATTGGATTGGTATAACTCGAGA